TTTTTTTTTTTTTTTTTTTTTTTTTTTTTATACATCCTAGACACCAGCTATTGAAAGACAACTGGAAAAATAAAATATTTTGGTATCTGTGCTGTCTTACTGTAGAATTTTATGGGATTGTGCTAGTATGACTTCATTGAGGGGGAAAAGCTAGCTTCAGTTCAAAGCATGACTTAATTTTACTGAAAGTCTTAGTTTTAGCTAATTTTTTTCAGTAATCAAGAAACTATGTTACGTTACCATAACATGATGTGCTTCAGTAACACCATTTTTTCTTTTCAGGAGTCTGTTAGAAGTTTTGTATTTTCTGTTGGCTTTGCCTGTAGGCTGACTATTCCTCGCTCTTTGGGAGGTCTGACTCCCACTTATCAAATCACATATATATTAAACCTTTCATTAAGTATTGCTGACAACAGGCAGTATGTCTTAAAGATGCAGGATTCTCTTACTTTGGCATCCAAGTATCCTATAAAAGCTAATGATTGAAGCATATACTTTATCAATCCTCTGTTACCTTTTCCTCCCTTTTTCTAGTTTCCTCCATATCCTGCCACATGACATGTTCACTGCTCTTCTTACTTGCATGTTACCCCTTTACTTTATGCTTGACGTTGGCTTTGCCTTAAACTGCAGATTTATTTCTAAGGTTTATTACTGACATTTAAAACCATCAGCTCACATAGAGTAGTCTGTGCATAGGAGTTCCTCACAGTGTGTGTTCCAACTCCAAGCCTGTGCTAGGCAAATGATTTATCTTTGTGTATTTCTTGACTGCCATTTTCTCATTGTGCTCATCAGGCTTTGCTTGTGTCGCCCCAGGTTGGTGGGTCTTTGCTATTTGGAATTCAGCTGGGTTTAAAATTTTGTTATATACAATAAAGTCATAACTTATATTTTTTTAATTAATTTCCTATTTACAGTTTTGCAGATGTGTGTTTTGAGGCGCATGTTTTTACTGTTTTTTGGAAAGTACATTGAATTGTGTGTCAAGCTTTCTGAATTTATTTGAATTTATTATTAAGTTCAGATTGCTCCATAATTACATTGTATACTATGGAGTAAATGTAGTATATATTGCTTTGGGAACTATTATTCTTAGTATTATAGAACTACTGTAGTTTTCTAGAACGTGGTGCTGGGATTTTCCAGTAACCAGGATTTCTGTTTTAAATTTATTTTGTTATTTATTTAATTATTTAATTTATGAATTTGTTTTAAAATTGCAAAGCTTATGTGTAAAGGTAACTGCCTACTTCTACTTGCCACACTTTTTAAATATAATAGATACTTTTGTATTACATTAAAACACCTCACCAATGCATCATCAGATTTTTAATGCATGTTTAATGGAAATGGCAATTTATAAATTGGGTTTTAGTGTGCATGGCTTGATGTATATGCTAACATTTCTGGGTGCTGAGACAGTTATTCTCCTAATTTGAGCCTTAACATTTTCCATGTAAGTTTTTCTTCACAAGCATAAGAAAACTAGAAGTTTCCTTTTAAGCAATGAAGATGTGGTAGCCCTGTCTTGTAATACTAGGAATTCAGAAGTGAGATTTAAAGAAAATAAGTTATATTGTAAAACTTAGGGTAAAATCCTAAGAGCTCAACATTTCTGAGATTGCCAATCTTATCAGAGTTTAAAAATTTGGCTTATTTTGCCTAACTCATCTTCTAAAGATTATTCATGCCGACATTTACATGAAAAGTGTTTGTCCTAAACTGCTTTGAGTAGAACACTAATCTAGAGGAGGCCTGTCTTTGTTAAAAGAACCCACTGTCCTAGACCATGAGAGGTTTTTTTGTTGAGGTTGTGGGAAGTCATGCATTATATTCTTTTCTTTCTGTCAAGGATCTTAATTGAGTCATTTTTTGCACAGTGTTAATATTGGCTGAGAATTTGAGGAAAGGTGTTGTGTGTATTCAGTTACACAAACAACTTTGTGAAAGCAGGCACTTTTCTTGGCAAAAAAATTTAATTAGCAAAATCAAAATGCAATTTGCTGCTTTTTTGTGTGTGTATGTGGCCATAACACTGGCAGTGCTGGTAAGTTTCTCACTTGGAAGAAGTTATTGAATTGTATGCTTTAATTATTACTCTTGATTAGAATTTAAAATGACCATGTATGTAAATCCAAGCCAAACAAAAGTATACATGAAAGATGATTTATGTGCAAGAAAACTGAATATATTTAAGGAGATTCTTAAGCAGATAGTTTACATTTTTTTCTCATTTCTATGGTGTGTAGGTGCAGTTCTCCTGTCCAGTGTACAAGGATTAGCAATTAATGTTGATCCAGTCCTGTATACTTGGCTTATCTACCAACCTCAAAAACGAGCTGGTAGACACATTCAGCAGGTATGTATTTTTGAAGGGAAAGGGGTGGGAGTGGGGAAGCTTAAACTTCCGTATATGCCAGTAGTGCATTCTCTTTCTAAATATTTGTTGTTTGTTATCCTCTTCTGTGTAGCTTGTTGCTCATACTGTTGATTTTATTTTGCATTATTTAAAATGTTAAGTTCGCATATTAAAATTAAAATTTCACAAATTTTTCATTTTTGATTTAAAGAACAAAGAAGGTGGCTTTGTGGTCACTGGGATCATTATTTTGCAACTGATTTTAAGCCTTCTGAGTCTGAATAACACATCATATTTTAAAATTTGGGATGGCCTATCAAATAATTACATAACTGGTCACAAAGTCACCACTCTTATGAAACCTCATTTTAATAGGAGATGAACCATACAGTTCTAACTCAGCACAAGTGAGCTCTGTAGCAGGTTCTGTATATCATATCAAACTACATGTTTGTATACAAAGTGCTTGGAAAACATAGAAGAAGCAAAGGCTGTTGGGTCTGTGTGGCACAACATTTTCTTGATGTATTTTTTGACCGTAATTTTCATACCCTATATTCTTGACCTGAGAAGAACACAGATTTTGCCTAATACTAAACTTACTTATAACTGTTGTTTGGCAGAATTTTCTAGAGCTTAAATTTGTCACAGTTGATCAAACTAAAGGCCTGTATCGCTTGATGTTCTCTCTCAGAAGTGGTCAATTATTAAATGACAATTGTAAGCATCTTCAGATATTTGTCTCATAATTATGAGATTTTATTCAGCAGGAACAGAACAATTAATGACTGCTGTGCTGTGGTGTTGCGGGTACATGCAGCCCAGTGAGATTCACCACTCTACTACTGAAACAGTTTTAGTAAGAAGTTCTGCTGTCTGCATGCTGTATGGTATCATGTGCAGCATGTTTTCTTTAAAAAGTGATATGGCAAAGCCAGTGCTGCTTATGTTTATATTAGCCAGAAATAGAATTAGCATCTCTCTTTGAACTGAACTGGAGGCTAACTACTTAGTGTGAAGTCTGCAAAATCCTATTAGTTACTAGAGTAAGTTGTACAAGATCTTGCTGAATGAAGAGCCTGTTCCAACGCTCAGACACCCTCACAGTAAAAACATGTTTCTTTTTCATTCAGAGGGAAGCCTCTGTGTTTCTGTCTGTGTACATTTCCTCTACTCCTTTCACTGGGCACCACTGAGAAGAGCTTGGCTCCAACTTCTCTGCACCTTCCCTTGAGGTATTTTTATACATGGAGAAGGACCCCTGTGAGCCTTCTCCTCTCCAAGCTGAACAATCCTAGCTCCCTCAGCCTTTCCTCATATGAAAGATGCTCTAGTACCTTAATCATCTTTGTGGCCCTTTGCTGCACTCGCTCCAGTATGCTCACGTCTCTCATGTACTGGAGTCCAGAATTAGACTCAGTACTGAGAAATGACCGCTTCCCTTGACTTACTGGCAGACTTTGGGTAGTGCAAACCAGGATACCATTCACCTTCTTTGCAGCAAGGGCACTTGGCTGCCTCTTGTTGAACCTGGTGTCCATTAGGACCTTTTCTGCAGAGCTACTTTCCAGCTGGGCAGCCCCAGCATATACTGACACATGAGATTACTGACCTTTCAGGTAAATTGCTGTTTATTGGAGTTTGTGGTCTGGAAATTATGCTGATTACTCCCAGCCGCCACCTTCTCATTCATATGCCTGGAAGTGGTTTCCAGGATAGTTGTTCCTTACCTTCAGGTGACTGGCATGTAGTTCTCTGGACTTTCTTCTTGCCCATCTTGAAAGTAGAAGTGACATTTGCTTTCTTCCTAAACCAGCTTCTCCAGTTGCTGTGTTTGTTCAAAGAACATCAAAAGTGATCTTGTGATGCCATCTACCAGCTCTGTCTGCACTCATGAGTACACCCTGTGGACTTAACATTTATCTAGTTTACATATGTCTAGTTTATCTGGTATTCCTGACCTGATCTCTTCCCCTGAGGGTGTCTTCCTTGCTCCAGCCTTTTACCCAGTCTCTGGTATCTGGGATTCAAGGTTAGTCTTGCCAGTAAAGACTGAGGTGATGGCATTCCATACCTCAGCCTTTTCCAATAGGAGAAGAAGCTCATAATTTTCCTGACTTAATATCAACGTGTATTCCTATAGATAATGAAATATTTTAGCTGGCTCTTTTTTAGCTCTTTTGTTCTCCTGCTCCTTTGCTTTTCTAAACTGAAGCGAGCACAAGAATTTAATAAAGATTGCGTAATACTTACACAATTTAGACACATTTTTCTGAAGTGTTGTATGTTGATTTCATATCTAACAGCTCTGAATAATGTGAAAGGAGAAGAAAATACAGTTGTTTAGTGTCAGAAAAGGTAAAAAAAAGCCAGCAAACCACAGATTGGTAACAGGGACAGGATGAGGTAAGGAAACAATATTTGATATCATGAGAATGTTTTCACCTCATCATCAGCTGATGATCTTTCCAGATAATAAGCATAGGAAGTTTTACGTGCTGCTTTGTCTAAGAAAACACACTACTGGTATATCTTTCCTGTTTGGACCACTGTAGTGTGTGTGCAGTAAGCAACACCAACCTTTGCAAGCTGATGGATTGAAAAAGAACCCAAAAATCCCTCAAACACCCAAAAACACTGCGTGTTAAACTGGCAGGAATCGCTGGGACTGATTTTATTAAGTTATACTGTTTATTTTTAGTAATAATAAGCTGAAATAACTTGAGTCTTGCGGCAGACCAAGGAACAAACTTTATAAATCAAAGTACTGTAGCTTAAAAATATTTTCAAAATCCTCAGTTTTTGACTTGTAAGCTAAAGACATCTTAGAGATGTTTTAATTCAACCTCTTCTGAACATTGTGCCTGTTAAGATAAACCAAATTCTTACTTTGAAAGAAAAACCTCATCTGCAGGCCTCAGCCTTAGATAAGCGAGACCAACGCAGGGACCCACTGTTCCCAAACCTCGCCGGAAGAGAAGAGAGCGAGGTCTCTAATCTCCGACTTATTTATACTCTGGTTTACGTAAAAATTGTGTGGAATACTGGGTACTTGGCTCCTTCCTTGGTTACAAACTGGTCACCAAGGAAGGCCTA